AAAGAAAGGGTCTTCTCGTGGACATGCAGACGCAATCAACTCTCGGGCTGCCTCAGAGGATAGAGTGGGGTCAATCGCGCTTGCATTGCGGGAGAGGAGCAGAGTCAATGATTCGGATCAGTCTAAATGAACCTCAGTCTGGCTCGGCTGGTATTTACAGCCTCAAACACACACACACACACCACAACACACACACACACACACACACCACACACACACACACACCCACACACGGCTCACGTCTGAGGCTGATTGCAGAATGGAGTAAACTTAAGCCAAATCCAAAATGTTGTAGCCGACTCCATGCAAGTAGACATAGGAGACAGGCAAGACAGAGAGGAGAGGAAGGAAGGAGTGTGTTGTGTGTGTGTGTGTGTGGTGTGTGTGTGTGTGTGTGTTGTGTGTGTTGTGTGTGTGTGTGTGTGTGTGTGGTGTTGTGTTGTGGATGTGTGTGTGTGTGTGTGCTGTGTGTGTTGGTGTGTGGTGTGTGGTGTTGTGCATATGTGTTGTGTGCGCATACTGTGTGTGTGTGTGGTGAAACAGCCATCTGACATAACCCAATACACCTCTAACCTCTGTCTACACCTACGTGTTTTACTCTGTTTCTGTGTGTGTGTTGTGTGTGTGTGGTGTGTGTGGTGTGTGTGTGTTGTTGTACTTGAGTAAAGTAGAAGTGTGTGTGTGTGTGTGTGTGTGTGTGTGTGTGTGTGTGTGTGTGTGTGTGTGTGTGGTATCCACCATGTTTGTTTTTTTCATGGACACGGAAAGGTGAAGAAAACGTAGCCATGTGTTGCCCCATGGACCAGTGTAGCTATTACAAATATGTTGTGAGTTTATTTTTCAGTTCAAGTTCTTTATTTGGGATTCAGCCCTCATTGTTTTCAGTTTAGTCCTTGTGATTGTGCCTGTACTGCTGATCAGAGCAGGATAAGGGCGTGAAGAATTTCAACAGGTACTGTAGGTTTTATGATGAAGAAGGAGTTTATACTGTGCAACACATCCCAGTAATTGTCTACTGTTTGAAACGTATATAATATGAGCAGGCCAATGCGACTTTATAAAAGACATATAATACCCCCCATAAGGAATTAATGACGCAGTGTCCTTACAGCAAAGTGTGTTTAACATTTGTAACAATGCTAACATCTGCTACAGCATGTCTAAAGTATAGGGAGGCAAAAATAAACAGAACTGCTAAGCAATCAAATACAAATGGAGATAATGTTACTCTCATTAACCTCCCTCTTGCATTCCTGATGTATTTTCCAGATGCACCTTCTTTAATGTGTTAACGCTCTTTCATACATCATACCATATATAAATACCTAACTCCAGGGTTAGTTGGCTTTGCTTCCGCTGTGTGGATTAGTGGGTTATAACCACAGACTGGGCCCAAGAACGCCAATCCACACACATCTGCTGAATAGGCAAAGAGCCTAAGAGAGTGTACATACACACAGAGTCTCTCTACTGGAACCCTAACCGTCCACACACTGCATGTGTCAGTTAAAAATGCCATATCTGAGCCAGAATAAATGGATGGGAATAATTATGTATTTTTCACATGTTTTAAATGTTTTTTGTTCTTTATGCAATGAGGGAGAATGGATTAAACCAATCCCTACGTCAGATAGCCTGCACATATACAAAAAGGTTCCCTGTTCCCTGGCTCTGCATGGGAACCGGTTCTCTGTGAGGAAACACACATCTAAGCGACAAGAGACAATACAGCCAGTAAAGACCATGCTGCTCACACAGTGAAAGCTCCTTGATATAGTGCTCTTTGAACATAAATACCTGACCTGAGATGGAAGCAGAGCTGAGAGTAATTGTACTTAGAATAATTGGGTTATTCACAAAGTGAATGCGATGGCTTCAAATGCAGCTTTCTATATCTTGACAGCTTTCTCCATTCATTAAAATGACCCACATGAACCAGACCTTTCCTATGAGTACTCGTGATCCTCCACATTACATTCCATCACATTACATTGCATTTAGCTGATGCTTTTGTCCAAAGCAACTTACAGAAAGTGAAATAAACCATAGAGATTCTAACTAGCAAGACAATTGTCAGTGCTGCTTTTTCTTTCTTTAAAGTGGACCTATCATGCAAAATGCAACTTTGTACGTCTTTCATACATGAATATGTGTCCCCGGTGTGTCAGGGAACTCACCAAGTGTCAGAAAACACAACCCTCTCTTTTCCTTCATACCCAAATCTCTAAAAAGGGGGCTGCAACGGATCTGATACAGATTTGAAATATCTCTGATGTCAGGAACGAGGAACTCCGCCTATATGGGCAACTCTCCACCTATCAGGAGGAGACAGCCACGGCAATTGCCGTTCGAAAGACCTGGAGACGCTGTAGTACATATGCCAGGCCTGTAGGTGGCGCTGTAGTCTGCCACAAAAGCAGCAAAGAAGACTTCTCACAGAATCAGCCCTTGCAAAAACAGGGCTAAAAAAGAGCAAATAGAGCGAAATGAGGCATGGCTAAAATGCATGATCTGTTTGATATATTTTTTTTAAAAGACTGCATACATGTTTTATATAGGTATGGCCCTACAATATATTATTCAAATATAGCATGATAGGTCCACTTTAAGGTACAAGCAAAACAGGTTTTCCACCTCCAATTATATCAGGCGTGTCAAACTCAATTTCATCACGGGCCACATTCGCATAAAGGTTGCTAAATAAGATGAACAACAGTGACTTCAGTCTCCAGTGCAGTCAGGTGATATGCAACCACCCCTCCAACACAACATCACAATTACTTCTGTAAGGATTGTAGTCCTCTGTTGTGTCTTCAAATGACCAAAGCTCTCACCTTTGTGAAGACGACTGTCTGGACTGAAGAGGTTTCTTATCAGAAGCTGAAGACACGGTGGTGGAGAAGTCTCTCTTGTGGGGACCCGGTCCCATGGGAGACCTTTGATTCCCTCACCCTCTTTTTAAGCATCACTCAAACAGCAACTGAGTTATTATTGAGACTTTTTCTATTTCATAAATATGTTTCCTCTGATAACTCAATAAAGCAAATGTGATTTCAAGATTGTTGTGAGAGCAAAAAAAAGGGAAAGTGATGGAAATGTGAAAACAAGGTGTTGGACCTACGTTGAGAAAAAACTGGTGGCCGTGAGGACAAAAAGGATAAAGATGAAAGAGAAAAATTGAAAAAGCAAAGGAAGACCTTGTGGCTTAGAGGAACCCAGTCTTCCATATTAATGACTTGGCCAGAGCTGGAGAGTAAAAAACGGATCGAGGGGGAGAGAGGGAGAGAGGGGGAGAGAGAGGGCACGAGAGCCGACTTGGCAGGAGAAAATGAATGAGAGAATGAGGGCGAGCAAGACAGAGAGGGAAGGGAGGGTGGATGAGGGGTCAGAGCACTGGTGCCACAATAAGGAGGGAGAAATGTGGAGGACTGATGAGAGGCTCTGTAAAGGCTGCAGCTGCCTCCACTAAATAACAGAGTGGAGGAGAGGATATGAAAGTAAGAGGTGGTCAGATAAGGAGGAGGGCAGGAGTAGAGGGGGGTGATGGGAACATGTGGAGGGAGAGAGAGGATCGAGCCAATGTTGGAAGGAAGGAAAGAGGAAGTGCAAATCACCCAAGGAGAGGAAATACCTATGGAAACCTTCGTCCATCGCATGCTTCATCACTCCTCTGCTTTTGTCACATACTGTAAGCCCCTTGCCCTTTTGCTTCTCCATTTCCAACCACATCATCTTTATTGGCAGTTTAGTTTTATTGGTAGTTAGCCGCATCACCGTTGCATTGAAGTACCTGATAGGATTTACCTGTAGTTGGACAGTCTGCTTTGTATAACAAGGATGTATCCTTTAGATACCATAAAGGTCACGCAGTTAATTTATATCAAAGTATCACAGACCAAATTCAATCTGTTATCTTAGTTGCAGGAAATGTACTTCTTAAAAACTGTAGTATCTGAATCCATCTTAAAAATTGCATTTGTGCCTGTCTCTATGTGATGAGAGCCTGTCCTCTGTGGCCAACTGGTTTAAAGAGCACACATCACGCTGATGTTCAGATGTACAGTATATCAGTATGTAGTGTCTCTACTTTAAAGAGTCCTCTCTTGCTGATGTTCAGGTGTATATCAGTATGTAGTCACTCTACTTTAAAGAGTCCTCTCCTGCTGATGTTCAGGTGTATATCAGTATGTAGTGTCTATACTTTAAAGAGTCCTCTCCTGCTGATGTTCAGGTGTATATCAGTATGTAGTGTCTCTACTTTAAAGAGTCCTCTCCTGCTGATGTTCAGGTGTATATCAGTATGTAGTGTCTCTACTTTAAAGAATCCTCTCCTGCTGATCTTCAGGTGTATATCAGTATGTAGTGTCTCTACTTTAAAGAGTCCTCTCCTGCTGATGTTCAGGTGTATATCAGTATGTAGTGTCTCTACTTTAAAGAGTCCTCTCCTGCTGATGTTCGTCAAGTAAATAAAGGACTCCAATGGAGGGGCTTCGGCAGTTGCTCAGTCAGTAGGGGCTTGGACCTGGAGCCGTAGGGTCGCCGGTTCAAGTCCCCGGATCGACCTAAATATGGAGTGTGGACTGCTACTTGGAGAGGTCCCAGTTTGCCTCCTGCCCTGCCGTGGTGCCCTTGAGCAAGGCACCCGACAACCCCCCACCCCCCCACTCCCATTGTGCTGTTAACTAGCTGCCCACTGCTCCTAGTACTAGACTCCTGGTACTAGGATGGGTTAATAGCAGAGAACACATGTCACTGTGTGCTCTGCATGTTCGAACATTAAAGAGGGTTTCACCCCTACCGATTCTATAAAAAAAAAAAAAAGGAATTAAAGTCCTCTTTAAATATATATTTTTGAAATGTTCTGTGTGTCGTGTCGGTTTTTGTGTGTGGTTTTTGGGATGTGAGTTTAGGTGTTTGCAGGTTATTTGGCAGTTGCAGATTTTTCCAATTAAATAAAATATACTTTTTAAAATAAAACTAGATAAAATGTAAATGGATTAAAATCAAAATAAAGACGTAGTTTGCTTATTCTAACACTACTAAGAAACCCAGAGGGATTGACAAAGGGAAAAACATGGGTTTGATTTATTTGACTGTCGTGCCTGCAGACAGGAACACGGTGTACTAAATTCACTGTATGTACTTTAACCATAAAAACACTTTTATATTCAGCAGCTTTGATCATGGAAGAGCACTTTATATTTTCACTTTGCGCATAATAGCTGATCTTTTGTATTTTACAAAAGGCCATAATCTAAACCAATATCGCTGCGATCCCATTCATCACAGCAGCCTCCTCATATATATTCTTCCATGAGTTGTACAGTACGTCCGTGCTCCCTCTCTGTCCCGTTTCCCTCCGTCCTATCTTTCCCTTTTCACCTCGTATGCTAAGAAGGTCATTTGTATTCCACACTCAGGAGGGCAGGTTGTGCTTATCTCTTCAGAGGCTCTTTGAAAGACCTCTGATTCTGCATGAAAAGGAGACTCCAAAGGCAAACTGGTGACAGGGTTCAGAGTCGACTAACTACACAGAGATCAAATCCACAGGGTGTGATGGCAGAGGGAGGCTTTGGGTGCAGAAACAAAGAACTGGGAATGTCCAGTATAGCGAACACTGGGTATTTGTGTGAAGTGGAGTACAAATAATTTGTTACTGTAAGGTGGGGTAGGTAAGTTTGAGAAACCGGCTCGAGATACACTTTTTGTTATATTCCATGGAATGCTCTTAACATCCCGATAGCAATGAATATATTAAATGCTTTGACAAAAAATACATTAAAAAATGTCATCTGTGGAAGCCATACTGTAAAAAGCACGACCAATCATCTGAGCCGGCCCGGCTAAAGTAACTGGATGGCCTACCTGCCTGTCAGCCTTCCATCTGTGCACAAACTTATCTCGTGCCCTCATTGGTCATGTGCGCGTTCATGTGTGTTGGAGGAGGGGCTCTGTGAGGAAGTCTGAAGGAAGTGGCAGATTTGTTTCGGCT